GGTAGGTCAGGTGGGAAAGGTACCATGTCCTGTAGGTAGGTCAGGTGGGAAAGGTACCATGCCCTGTAGGTAGGTCAGGTGGGAAAGGTGGCATGTCCTGTAGCTCAGGTGGCCTTTTTTGAGGAGAGACAGGATGCAGTATGAGTATAAGTGAGGTCACTCTCTGGTAAGAAGAGACCCAGGCAGAATATACAGTGAGTTCAAAGATTTGTGAGTTTAAGAACGATCTAGAAGGCCAGTGGGGCCATGGTGAGGAAGGGAGGGAAATTCTGGGTACTGGAGAGGCTCTTGTAGATCCTGAGGATTTTAGATTTTATTCTGAGCATAAGAAGTCTTTGGCATGTGGTGTCACATGCCTTTAATCCCAGCACTCGGGAGGCAGAGGGAGGTGGATTTGTGAGTACAAGGCCAGCCTGGTCTACAGAGTGAGTTCCAGGACAGCCAAAGCTGCACAGAGAAACCCTGTCTTGAAAAACAAACAAAACAAAACAAAAAAGCAACAACAAAAACAAGCCCTTGGCATGCTGTGCTCTGTGTATCAAGGACATTCTCTGAGCCTATCCCATCATACAGACATCCCACTTTATAGTTTGCTAAGTGATTTTCAGATATCTCATAACTGTTCGCATTGAGACCTCCCAAGAACATCAAGAATGGTAAGTAGATTCAGAGAATTCATGCCTCACGCAAAGCCTTACAGTGAGAAAATGGAAGAGTCTAGTCTAGGTTTGAAACCCATCCTGCTGACCAGGGCAGGCCATAGTGTTGGCAGATCACAGGGGACTGACACCCGGTTGTGCTTCTTATACCGTGGGCCTGATGCTCGGCCGATGCCTGAAGATACTGCTCTGGTGGTTTCTAAGGACCTGACTGTGGTAGGAACCCCTCATCCCAGGCTCGCAGCCATCGGCCTGTATAGCACAGAATCCGCCTCACCTCTGCACTTTCCTCTTTCGAGACAGTCCAGGGACTCACATCCAGGCCTTTCTTGGTGTGCAGGAAGGAGACCTGGGGCTTTGCAGGCAGGCGAGGGCTGGTGGCCTTGTCAGGAACCACGGTGGGAAACTCCATGGCAGCTGGATTTTCCAGGCCTAGATTAGTCTGCTGGAGGCCCGTGTTGACAGCGTCATACAGGTCATTTTCCTCTAGCTGGAGGCAGTGAGGATATAACAGGCTTATGGTCATACACTGGCAGCCTCCAACTGTCCTCAGGACAGTAGGAAAGGGACGGAAACATCCCACTAGGTTCTTGACCTTGGCTAAGGTACTTTTTTGAATGAGGACCGTGACTCCTCCGAGTTCCCTTGATAGGATGTTCCTGGGTAATTGCCACCCCAAGGACACCCAGACACCCCATCCTACCTCCCTCACCCTGGGAAGAAGAGTGCCTACCCGTGGGCAAGCAGCAGCAAGGGTCTCCCCAAAAGGCTCAAGCTGCACTTCCTGGTAATGGCGTAGGAGCTCTTCCAGGGTGCTGTGGCTGAGGGTGTCTCCTGAGACAAGGTACCGTCGATTTCGGAGCTGGTTGATGACAAAATGGCGGCAGCGATCACTACCCCTGTAACACAATTACACACGGGCTGGGTTGTGCTGCTGGCTGCCAAGGGCTGCCCTCTCCATGTGCATCTGTGGTGTTCCTCAGGGAACTGGGGCAGGGGGTGGGGTGTAGGGTGGATGGGGTTGGTGGAGGGGTGGGGGGGTAGGGGTAGGGGGTAGGGGTGAGGTGTGTGTGGAGGGGTAGTGGAGGGGGAGCTGTTTCAAATGTCTGGGGCCTTGGGAAGAACCTGAGCTTGTTCTTGGGGAGGGCAGGGCTGGGACTAGAGTGATTGAGACACCCATTGAGCCCAAAACAAGGGCACCCCAAATCTTGCTCATCAGATTTACTAATGCAATAATTTATCTCTCTCTCTCTCTCTCTCTCTCTCTCTCTCTCTCTCTCTCTCTTTTTGTGGTACTGGGGGTCAAACCTAGGGCCTCACATAGGCTGTCCAAGTACTGTAACAGTAAACCGTGCTCCCAGACCTATTTACCTGTCTATCTTAACTTTAAATCCTTTAATTATTCACTCATTTATCCTTGAGAGAAGATCTCACTTTATAGCCCAGGCTGGCCTACAGCTGTTTAGTCCAGGTTGGCCTCAAACTCAGGCGGATCCTCCTGCCCCAGCCTCCCCAGTACTGGGACAGTAGGTATGGGCTACCATGCTTGGCTAACACAGTATTTTAGAAGCTCAAAATGAATGAAAACAAAAAAATAACAACAACCCATAAACATAAAAACAACGAGGAAGAAAATATCGAAGCTGCCAGTAAAGACAAGAGCCAACCCTGCGCCTTACCATTCAGCTTCACCCGGCCCCATCCTCTGGAACAACTGGACCTCCCCTCCTATAAAGCCTCACCCTCTTCATTTTCCCTGTTTTAACGGGAGAATGATTTAAACACAGAGCACATGTGGGCGTGCAGCAAGGTGAATTTCTACATAAAAATGCCCCTGTAGCCACATGCAGATCAGGATATAAAACCTCGCCTAGCCTCTCCCTGCCAATGCCCCACAGGTGGCCTCTTTCTGACCCTACTGCCATACATACATTTCTTCCTTTATGGAATTTCCAATAAATGGAAATTATGCAAAAGTCCTCATTTGTATCTCACTTCCTTCTCTCAACGTGTTTTTCAGATTCGCTGAGATCCAAACAGATTTAGCTTCTTCCTTTCAAAAGTTATGTGGAGTGTCTCATCTGATAGAAAACCTATAGTCTATTGGGTATTTAGGCTATTTCATTATTGAGGTTGTTGTAAATATAGATGTTGTGCATATCTTTTGGTGAATGCATGTGCTCATTTCTACTGAGAATGTGCCGAAGAATAGCAGGAGCAAGACTGATCAAAAGACACGTGTATATGTGTATTTTACACACACACACACACACACACACACACACACACACACACACACACACACACACACATAAAGGAAATCAAAGTTATCAGTCTTCTGCTTGTTTGGGGGCTCCCCTCTATTCTGGGAAGGTCGTTCTCCTCAACTAAGCATGCTTCAGGAAGGATGCACATGTTATGCTGAAGGAGGAAGGAGACACTCTGTCTAACCACCCAGATCAGCTGAATCCATCCTGTGGGGTGACAGATGTTGCAGCCATATTGCCTTCACATCCAAATTTATTGGTCTTTTATAGTGAGAGCTTTTTGTGTCTAAGAAATTTGTGTTTATCCCACTTTCATGGGCAGTTGGTTAGCTTGTTGAAGTGTTTGCTTGTTTCCTTTAAGAAAGGTTATTGTTTTCTGTCTTGGATCTATGATCCATGTATAGTTATTAGCTTTTGTACCTTGTGTGAGGTAGCGACCACTTTCTTCCCCATTTGGATATCAACATGCCTTGTGCCAACTGTAGGGAAATCAGGAATGGCCGTGACACTCCCGGTGTGGATCAGGGAGTCACCGTGCTGGCTCGTCTTTGGACTCTGCTGCTCCTTTTCACTGTTTATATTTCTCTGAGCACCTCCTCTTGCTGTCTTTTATGAGGTGGCCCTCTGCCTAAGGTCTCATGAGGGCGAGAGAAGCTCAAAGAAATACATAATAAAAGCAGACCCAAACTGAAAAGAGATCTGAAAAAGCTTACTTATTATATTTCCAAGTACCCAAAATAGTGCATGGGGGAAAATGAGTATTGATTAGTGATGAACATTTATTTAGCTCTTCCAAGGTTTGTGCAGCCTGTTCGAGGCACTTTCAAATGCATCATCTTACTGAGCACTTCCAACAGTCCTGTGACAGTAATTAGAATCTTCCTGCTTTACCTATGAGATGGCAGAGGCAGAGAAGCTTCCTCCGGGTTAGGATCTGAACAAGGAGAGTCTGTGCACATAATTTGACTCAGAATCTGAGGACTTGGAAGTTTGCCCTGCGGCCCTGGCCTCCTTCCAGGTCTCCAGAGGGAGCCTTCTACCTTCCCAACTCAGCCTCCGTTCAGGCCAGGGTTCATAGTCATCACCTCTGACATTGGACTAGGCCCATGTCTCCTCCTCTTTGGTCTCATGGCCTTACATTAGTAAGACCCAAGATCTTCTACTGGTGGTGTGGGTCCCCACAGTCTTCACACCTCTAGACTATTTCCATTTCTCCCTTCTTATGCTGTAAGGAGGACCCTGGTGAAGTGGCAGTCTGCCTGGACTGCTTCTTTGTGTCAGAATTCTCATCCAAGGCTATCCTGTTCCCACATACCCTGTATCCAGCTGCACCCAGGGATCTGGGGCTCCCAAAATCCTACACTTCCGCTCCTGCCAGTCCATCTGCTAGAAGACCTTCTTATACCCAGCTGTGCCCTCGTCCCACTAGCAAATAGCCATTCCTCCTTTACTGGGCTCAGCGTTCATCGGTGCTCACCAGGGAGATGTTTTATCTGGCCCCCCTTGTCTCTTGGAAGGCTGTAGCCCCATCCTTGGTGATGGTCAGTGCTGCTGCTCTGAAAGGGTTGGCCAAGCATGGGTTGGATGAATCATGGAGCCAGGGCCCAGGGAGAACCAGACAGTGGGCTTCTGGGCCTCCTGTTTGCCAGCAGGCTCTGGGTATGGAGTCTTGAGGCTGCTTGCCCCTTCATAGAGGGCCCCCCACTTACCTGTAAGAAAGGATGTAGCCGACAGCCCGGTCACTGAGGCGGATGAGGAAGGAACCAAGAGCTTTGTCCCTGAGCAGCTGCTCTGTCTGCCTGGACAGGGGACATGCCATTAACTGGAGCCTGTACCCTCACAATAGCCAAGCCTGAATTAGACCTGCCTCGGGATCTTTGCAAGCTATAGCCTTAGGTCCTCGATTGAGGCAGCCTTTTAGTCCTTGATAGAGAACCTTCTTAGACCTCTGAGGCTCTGAGGCCTCTCAGGTGTGATCTGTGCACACAAATATTCCCAAGCACAGATTGCCAAATCCCACATTCTGGTCCCTGTGCCAGGATAACCATGTGTCTAGGTTTCCTGGTCAGTTTTCTAGCTTAATTACAATAGTATTTCAGTGCTGATATATGGCGCAGTCTTTTAACTTTTGCCAAGATACTCAGAATTCATCTAAACATGCCCAGCCCCCACACGGTCTACTTTCTGTCCTTCCCATAGCTACAAAGACTTCATGAGAGAAATGCCCTTCAGACCTGCCTTCAGAAGCTTCCTCAATCTGTCCCCCTACACCCCAAGTGTCCTGCCTAGTGAGGAAATTTCAGGAGCCCAGAGTTCCAGAATCCTTGGGTGATATTCTCAGCCCTGAGGAACTGTGGGCCATCTGGCCATGTTGTCAGGGGCAGCCTTACTTGCGAGTGATGAATCCATGAAACCAGGGGGGCAGAGCTCCATTTTGCAGGATAGAGGGGGCCTGTGTCTCCATGAACCACTTCAGGGCCAGCTCCTGGATTTCAGCCAAGTCCCTCCCATCTCCAGCCTCCCCTAGTGCCTTGGCCGGATGCAGCTGCTCTGGGCCGCCCTCCATCCTGGTGAATACTGATGGGCAATAAGTCCCGGTGATGGCTACAGTCCTTTATATCTGTGTGGGATGCAGCTCATTTGCCTGAACCCACACCCTCGCCAACGCCTGAAGCACACAGGAGTCCTATTACCTCTGGACTGGCAGATGTTTCTCTTCTGGGAAGCTTCGGGACCAGACATTTGGGCTGGCTAGAGTCACTAGCAGGAGGCTACCATAGCAGCCTGGTGAGAGATCAGGCTTTCCACGATCTCTGGGCCAGCAAACGAACTGCTGACTTTGGTCTCATTTCTCTCAACCTCCAGCCTGCCTCAGCTGAGAAGCAGACATTAGCTTCAGTCACAACACTGCCCCTGTCAGCAAAGTCCTGGATTTAAATTAGATGTATCTTGCCCTGGCAGAGGCTTTTAGTGTTTTAGTGGGGAAATTCCACGCTGATTAATTTTTCCTCCCAATGCAGGTTACTGTATCAAGTACCTACTGTGCACCATATAAATCTGGGAATAAGGCCACAGCAGCTGGGAAAACATTTTTGTTATTGTTCTCTCTCTCTCTCTCTCTCTCTCTCTCTCTCTCTCTCTCTCTCTCTCTGTGTGTGTGTGTGTGTGTGTGTGTGTGTGTGTGTGTGTGTGTATACGTGCATGCAGTCATGTACCCATGCATGCATGTGTTTGTGGAAGTTAGAGGTTGGTATTGGATGCCTTCCTCTATCTTTCTCCATGCTGTGCTTTGAGACAGGGGCTCTCACTGATCCTGGAGTTCCTGTTTGGAGCAGTCCCTGGGGTCCACCTTTCTCTGCCTCTCAGTATGCTCAGCTTTTATGTGGGTGCCAGGGATCCAAATTCAGGTCTTGATGCTTATGACGCCAGCACTTTACCTACTGAGCCATTTCCCCAGTCCTGGAGAAGCACTTTTTACTGACGGAGGTGGACAGACAATAAATGTTTGTGCATGTATGTGGAACACTGCAGGAGGCAGGGAGAGGAAGACAGAGCACGTGGGCTGCACGTCATGGATTGGAGTCAGTCTTACCTAAGAGCAACAGTGGGTGTTGGAAGGAGGAAGCCAGTTGCCAACCACGGGGGAAGTAAGGGCAGAGACAGGATGTTTGGGATTAGCTTAGGGCAGTGGAACACTTTGTTGACACAAACATTCTGTGGGGCCTTTACCCACCACCCCCACAGCTTCCCAGAGTTTTCTTGAGTGCGAGCAGCAGGAAATATTAGATAGAAGGATTTATAGCGGAGAATCTTGCGGGGAGAAACAGATAGAAAATAAAGGATAGCCTTGAGAGGGCCTGGAACCTATTCCAACGGGCCCCGACTGTCTCTGGTCCAGGGTTTTTATAGAGACGCCAAGGGGTGGAGCAAAAGACCTCCTCCCCCAGCTCAGCCAAGTGCAGACCATCTCAGACACCTGCACTCAGGCCCGTGGTCCTGATCATCCTCTATTCGGACCTGCTGGGTAAAGCCACGAGGAACCCCAGAACGGGCTCCCACAACATTCCCAATCTCCAGTGTCAGCATTCTGCAGCAGAAACTGAGGCTGGAGGACACTGAATTGCAGAAGCAATCAGCCCCCCAAAACACGGGATAGAATCTTCCTCCTACCACACAGTGGCATAGAGGATCAGAGGGTTGCTGAGCCTTTGGAGATATCACAGTTTGCTCATGCAGCGGACATAAAAGGTTGCTATGATGAGGTCATTATGATGAGTAGGAGCAAAATGGTAAAGAATGAAAGATCATTTACATAAATTCAAAACACAATAGAACTAATCAATGATGCTAGAAATTAAGAGCAGAGGCTATGGTGGGGTGGGAGGAGAGTTTAATGACTTCCAGGAGCGCCAGGAGCTGGCAAGTGCTGGTATGTTTCCACTTTCTGATCTGGGTGGTGTGCTCACTATGAAAATTCATGGGGCATTTGATAAGCCCGTGTTCTGCTTCAACAGAAACCACTTTCTGAAAAAGGAGAAGACGGCACAGCCACATTTCCATGGTTCCGATTGGCTTGGTAGCCGCGTGGCCCTCCATGAAATGTTACAACTTTTATAATGTCAGCGTCTTCCTCTTGGAAATGAGGATAATAATGTGACACGTGTATTAGCTCATTTTCTGTTGCTACAGTGAAACACTTGAGGCTGCGTACTTTGTATTGAAAAGAGATTTATTTAACACATGGTTTTGGAGGCTAGAAGGCCAAGATTGGGTAGTTCTACCTATTTGGGCTCTGGCACAGACAACCTTAGCCATATAACAGGGTGGTGGATGCCATCATGGGGACATAACTGAGAAGGAGCGATCACATGCCTGGACAGAATCAGACTGGCTTTTTTATAATAACCCACTCTGTTTAGACTTCTCTAGAGTTCCATGAAAACTGAATTAATTAATCCTTTCCCAGGACAATGTTTCCCAATGACCTGTCTTCTAAGCCTCCTTCAGGGTTCCACCACCTCCCAACATGGACACTCTGAAGTTCAAGCTTCCAACACATAACCCCTTAGGGGACAAGCCACATCTAAACCATAGCAGCCTGTCATTTGGAAGGTCAACTGAGTTAACTCCTTTGAACAGACTTTGGAGTAAAATAAGAAATTAGGATTACCCACTGCTTTGATGATAATACTGCCAATGGTGGTGATGATGTAAAGATTCTTAAATATGGAATAGTCAGCCCCTGTTGGGTAGACTATTATTTTTTTAATAATTTATTTTTTATTTTATGTTATGTGTATTGGTGTTTTGCCTGCATGCTTATCTGTGTGAGGGTGTCAGATCTTGGAGTTACAGACAGATCTTGGAGTTAACTGAGCTGCTAGGTGGGTGCTGGGAATTGAACCCAGGTCCTCTGGAAGAACAGTCAGTGCTACTAACCACTGAGCCATTTCTCCAGCCCTAGACTGTTATTATTACTGCGACCTCATTATAAGTCATTTCAAGTCTAAAATAAAATGTGTTAAGGGAGGGCGTAGCAGTGCACACCTGCAATTCCAGCACTAGGCAGGTAGAAGCAGGAGGATTACAAAATTGAGGCCAGTGTAGGCTCCAGAGCAAGACACCAGTATGAGACCAGCCTGAGTTATATAGTAAGATCTTGCCTCAAAAAACAAACAAGGGACTGGAAAGATGGCTCAGTGGTTAGAGTCAGATCAGCCCTTGCTGAGGGACCTAAGTTTCTCATCCAGCACCCACAACAAACAGCTGACAACAGCCTGTAACTCCAACTTCAAGGGGTTCAGAGCATCCTCCTCTGGCCTGTTCAGGTACCTGTACTCATGTGCACATACCCCCCCCCATAATTAAATATGGAATAAAATCTTTTTTTTTTTTTTTAAATACAGGTGTCTCTATGTAGTCCTGACTAGCCTGGAACTCACTATATAGAGCAGGTTGGCCTCACACTCACAGAAATCTACCTGCCTCTGCTTTCCCAGTGCTGGCATCAATGGAGTACACCACTATGGCTGGCTTTGAAATAAAATCCTTTGAAAAATGTGTTTGGGCGTGTGTGGGTTGCATTTGGTTTAGTGGGAAGGCAGGGGCATGAAGCGGCCTGCAACCTGAACCTGGGGGCCCTTCCTTCGCCTCTCAGCCTCGTCTTCCTCGTTTGTACAAAGGGTGACAGTGCTTACCTCGCAGGGGCAGCTCTCAGCACAGGGACAGGCACATGGCTGCACAGCAAGTGTTCTGGAGAGCCACCTACCCAGAACACTGATTCTGTAAATCATTACTTTCCAGCCTTGACAACGGAGTGTCAAAGGAGCCACCAGGAACGAGTCGTCATGTCTGAGAGGGCTCTTTGGTCTCCCCCATCACAGACCAGCCAGAGAGATCGTGGGGATCTGTAGTCCCAGGCCCAAGTTGGCAAGGACTAGAATTCTCTAAAACATAAAGCAGGGGAGGAAGGAGAGTCTGTCTTTATTTGCCCTAGCTTTTCATTGAAATTCAGGATCTCCTTCCTGGTGAACACAGACAACAAACCCCACTAACATTAGCAGCACCTGCCCTGTCGTCAGCAACGGAAGCCACAGATATTTTCCTATCTCATGACGGCAGCTGCAGACGTGGGGACAGACTTTTTCCTCATCATATCAGGATTATAAAAAACCAACCCAAGGCTGGATCTTGCTTTTTAGCACAATGTAAAAACACAGTGCTAGTACTACACCAAGATTCTACTGTGACCCTATTTCCACATAATCTAGTCCCCCCTCCCCGTTCCTCTCTAGGTCCAATTTTGTGCATTAAAAAAATATCTAAGAGGCACATAAAGCTCAGCAGATCTCCCAGAGGCCCACGGCACCGTAAGAGTGAGACTTCTGGGGTCCATCCCAGAGCTGGTTTGCTGCCAGAGTAACGTCCTGGAAGTATTCAAATGCAAAGAAATGTTCTGCTTTCTTTTTCCATGATCCGTTCTCGCTCCGCCAACTTTTAGGCTGGATACGTTTATGGGCAGAACCTGATCATTTTCCTATGAAGACAAAGGCTTTTCTGTACAGAAAGGAACATATCCCAGATGGCTGTGGACCAGGGGTGACAATTCTGAAAGTTAGGCAAATAAGGAGAGCTCTATATTTACACTCAAAGGAAATATGGGGCTGAGGAAGGGCAAGTACTGGGTTTGGAGAGAATTGGATATGCTATGCAAAGAATTATGGGTAGGAAAAGATTGTTCCAGAAGAACTCTGCATCCCATTGTTCAGTTCACTCCATGCGGTCACCTGGAGGATGCTGGGCCCTGGGTAGAGAGGAAGCTGTGGAGTGGTCCCCTCATTTTCTACTCTGGCTTCCAGAGGTGTAGGGAGGGGCTGAAGGGGCAACAGGCTCTGGAATCAGACTAACTGGCTCAGGCTGTCAGCTCCCACTGGCCAGCTCGGTCTCCTCATCTATAAAAATGGAGTGGGTAGTCAAGTGCTTGCTGCACAACCGTCAGGGCCTGAGTCCCTCCATCAGATAAGAAGCTGGGTGAGGTGGCTTGTTCTTGTCACCCCAGCTTTGGGG